AATCACCTTTACTTCCCACAGTGTAGACCCAGAGCATCCAAAGTATATTTGCTTGTTATATTAATAGAATTCAGAAAATTGGTCTACAAAATTCCTAAGAGAGAATCAGCCAAAATTAGACTTGGCATCTGCACAAGTCTCAGTTATTTGTTGGAATACTTAGACAACACTCTTATGTTATTGTCTCTCAGTTCATTTTTTCTGCTCATGTGTTCCCCAAAGAAGGAAAGAATGGTATTCCTGTTCTCTGAAAAAGGACACATCTTGCTTGTTAGTGATTTAATTATTTATTTTCCCCTTCTTGAATCGTTGGATCATGAGGCTTAAAATCCTTCTAATTCTTGCTCTTCCACATGAGGGTACAGAAGTTATCCTACTGCCTCAAAGAAAAATAAATGTGAAGAAAATTTTACCAGCAGAGGAGACATCTCCTTTCAATTTTTGTCTTTTCAGCTGGATACTGCAAAGAGAACCTTCAGAGATCACAGAAAGCCTGTTAGTTACGTAAATCTAAATTAGTAACACAGAAAACCTGAGGTATTCAATGCTAGCATAAGCAATGTTGCAACGTATACCTCCCAGCTCCACAAGGCTCTTCCTTTGTTTCACCTTTGTGCACCTAGAGACAAAATAGAGGTGAAGTATGAACAGGGTTACTCTCCTATAAGGTTGCTTCTGAAGGATCTCTGCAGCCAACTGAGAACATTTTCATTTTCTTTCTTCCATTTGATCTTCTCTGAAACATATTCTTCATATTACTCCTCACATTTTACTTCCATCTGGTTTCAGATTTTGATTAGTAACTTGGAAGTTCAACTTTAACAGCTCAATGCAGGGACTCAAGCTGTTTCCAGCCATTTTCCTCCTTGAAAGATCTTAATTCAGTCGTATGGTTCTTTTTACTGTACCTCTGCACACACTGGAGGCTATATCCCTAGAAAACAATTTCCAACTCTTGCAAAGAGCAAAAAAAGACCTACCCTCTGCAAACATAAGGGGGATTTGTTATCCAGGAAGAAACAAAACATACAAAAGAGAAGATACTGCTTTAAAAATATTTGATATACAAAATGTCATTATAGGGAAGCTGCAAATTGTCAGGTTTATCGGACAGGATACAATACACATTTAAATGTTAGTCAACAGTTTCACCAGTAACACAAGACCAAGAATACCTCAGCTATGTGAACTCAGTCCAGACTTCACTAGAGTCACCAAAAACCAATGCCCAAGTTACTGCTCAGAAAATAAGAATTCAAAATGTTCTGTAATAAGCATTGTTTTGATGGGATATTCATGTCCTTCCCTGTGCAGGATCAAGAGAAGCTGGCAGTCATCAATTGTGTAGTCAGGTCAGGAAAGGCTGGTGGATGGTCCCACTTTCACCACTAAAAAAAAATTATTGTCATTCATAAATTGCGTATGGAGTTTCCATTACATTACCCAGGTCATGTCACAGAAAATAATGGCAAACACAGGATTCATTGCCATTTACCCTAGTAACTTCACTCGATACATCCTTGCATGCACTGAGAAGCACAAGTAACTAATGCAGGTTATTTCACTGAAAAACATTCAATACAACTGATTTTCCAGTAACTTCTCACAGACCTTTGCTCATGTGTCTTACTTTCTTCAGCTATTCAGCTCAGAGAAATGACACCATACACAAAATCTGAAATGTTATTTTTTTTCAGTGAAAGGTTAAAATTTTGATACCAGATCTGCTACCAACTCTGCCCATGCACAATTTTTTAAACTACCTCTTGTCCCAAGCAAGTCATATGTTGTCACATAATGCTGTCAGTACACTTTCTTTCTGCATGTTTCTCCATGTTCAAACATAGAGAACTATTATGTAATTTAATTGGAGAGTTGACAGTTCCAGGCATCCTAGGGCTCCTGCTCTACATAGTCAATCTCCTCCATGTTTGAGCTCAGTAACTGGCAGTACTCATACGTGTTTATTAAGAGCTCAAGAAAGTACTGTTTATGTCTCTTATCTCCCAAAGAAGCTTCTGCTCTAGTTCCTTCCTTTCTATCAAAATCATCTCACAGCTGCATGTGTAACTCTGCTATTTTGTTCAGGCTAATGATTATTATCCATTGTTCTGTTATTCTTCCGCACTTCTCTTTTTCTTTCCATACTCAGTACCTTCTCTGATGGCAATTTCAGCTGTTTTTTTAAGAAAGCTCATGTTCCTGACTGCAGACAGCAGTAGGCCACACGTGCAGCAGCACAGGAAGCCCAAAAGAAACTAGAGTATTAAGTGGCTTAAGTACAACTAACTAAAGGACTGTCTTGGAAACTATCTAATTTAAGCTAAAACCCAAAATCTTTAGCCCAGCTCAGCATCCCAGAATTTGACTAAGCTTTCATTTCTGTTCTCTAGTTCACCAAAAATACTTAGGAAATAGAAAGTTCACCACAAACTCCAAGTCAAGGTATTTGCTTTAAAAAAATATGTATAAAAAATCGTCCTGGGTTGAGTGAGTGGTGGAGTTGTTTTTGGTGGCAGGGGAGGGGGCTATCGGGGCGGCCCCCTGTGAGAAGCTTCTCGAAGCTCCCCCAGCTCCACGTCAACTCCACTTCTGTTTGGGAAATTGAGCCAATCGGCTGCGCCTCTGCAATAACATATTTAAGAAGGGACGTGGTGACGGGCAGTGGGACTTGTGAGGAGGAGTTGCTGCAGCTGCATGAACACCAAGGTCAGTGGAGGAACGGAGGAAGAAAGGAGGGGGGAGGTGTGCCGGAGCAGACACCCCCCTGTATCCTGTGGTGAGACGGCAGGGCGGCCCCCCCCTGCCACCCATGAAGATCTACGGTGGAGCAGACATTGATTTGTGGCCTGTGGCTCCTGCTCGCATGATCAAGGTTCTGTGCCCGAAGAAGGCCGGGGTCTCATGGGAAAAGGCAGCCCCGCTGCTGTAATTCAGCGCTGGGAGGATTGCAGCATGCGGGGGAGTCCCACGCCAGAGCAGCTCGGGAAGGGCTGCAGCCGTGGGAGGGAATCCAGTCAGAGGAAGTTAGTGACCCATGACAGAGCAGTGTGGGGAACGCTGCGGCCCGTGGGAGGAATTCATGTCGGAGAAAGTTTGTGGAGGACTGTCTCCTGTGAGAGGGGGACCGCGATGGAGCAGGAGGAACAAGTTCCGGACACTCCCCTCACCGAAGATAAGGGAAGTGGCAGCGCTGACTGCACCCCCCATTCCCTGCCCGTGTGCAAGGGCACAGGGAGCAGGGAGGGAGCACAGCCACAGCACCTGACCCTAATTGGGCAATGAAATATTCCATATCATGGCATGTCATGCTCACTATATAGAGGAGGGGTGGTTGGGAAGGAGCTCTCTCGCTTCCGGGATTGCAATTGTGGGATCTTGGTATCTCGGGGTCGCTGGCCGGGAACGGGCTGGGGATTGGTCAGCGGGTGGTGAGCAATTACACTGTACATTGCCTGTTTATATATTTCTTTTTGTTTCCCCTTATCATCATCACTGTTCTCATTTTATTGCCATTATTAAACTGTTCTTATCTCGGCCTGCGAGTCTCCCTTCACCCCTCTAATCCCCTCCCCCATTCCCAGGTGGGGAAGGGGAAGGGAGGGTGACCAGCTGCGGGGGTTGGCTGCTGACCAGGCCCAAACCATGACAGTCTTTTTGGCGCCCAACGTGGGGCAGAGGGTTGCGATTTGATAAGGATATTAATTGGGAGAGGTAATGAGCAAATTACAGACTGAACTCCGTTAGTGGAATGATCTTTGCAATGTCTGTAGTTGTAACTGTGGGGAAGGTGTTCTCAAGATGGGGCAATGCTTCTCACTGTCCTACTCTGTTATGTGTTGTTAGTGTCTCTAATAAATGTATGTTCTTTTTTATTTCCCCTAACGAGTCTGCCTTTTGCTCGTGATCATAAAGGGGAATTTTTCCCCATCCCAGTCCTATTTCGAACCCCAAGCCTGGCTCTCTGTCCCTTCTCATTGCCAGAGGGGAAGGAAGAGAGAGCTGCTGCATTGTGGTTGGCTGCCAACCAGGCCTAAACCACGACAAAAATACAATTTGCAAAAACTCCACTCAGCAGAAAGAAGGGAACTCCTTCTTATTCCAGACACAGAAAGCTCCTCCTAGACAGGTAAATACTATTCAATCTTAAAAGATAAGCTCCCTTTTCTAAGCAGATGGAATGAGCTGTGCAGTAATATGATAATGCAGTGAAACAGTACAAAAATGTAAGACCATAGTGAGCATTAACCAGTACTTTACAGATTGGAGTAAGTTAGGCAACATAACTTTATCCTTGCCCATGGCAGAGGGATTGGAACTAGATGATCTTTAAAGTCGCTCCAACCCAAACCACTCTGTGATTCTATACTTGACACCTGTGGCTGCATACTTTGCAATCGAGTTCCCCAGAGATACAGCCTACAGAGCTCTGATAGCTGGTTCCCAGCTGACCCTCATAATCACATTCAGTTCTAAAATTTAGAAATTAATCAGTTAAGTATGAAACAAGTGGGCTGAGAGTTGATCACAGCCTTCTGAAAGAGACATTTTATAGCTACATTTTATACAATTACAGACCAAAACAGGAAAGGAAAAATATATAGTGAAGTGTATTGTGAAGTTACAATAATTATTGTTCTGTCTGATAGCATCTGTGGGATTACATTAAACATCTTATGTTGGTAAAAACAAGCTGTTGGTTTTAAAACAAGAGACAAGATGATAACAAGACTTAGTCTTTCCTCTTTTCTTACCCAATTCTTTGTCTAAAAGGTTATTTAGGATCATCCCCATCCACAAGTCCCATTCACATTACCTTTTTTTTTTTTTGTAGCACTGCTTTTAATAAAGTACAGGGATTCTTATGTCAGAGACCAATGAAACTACAGCAGTGTGGGTCTACCCATGGTCTTGTGGTAACTCCTAGCACCCAAAAGGTTAAGCACATAGACAGACACGTTCTCTGGTACATAGCACCATAACCACTCATGAGAGGTTACTACGATTTGACACCTTTTATTAGCCATGTGCTCTAAATTCTGATTACAGCTGAACTGCAAAAAAAACCTGCAAGAGACTTCAAATATGAGCTTTATAAAAGTTAATAAAAATTGGAGGATTCAGATGCACAGTTTTCCTACCGCTGTGCTGTTCAGACACTGGGTATACAGAATACACATGAAAAGCAACAGATTAGATCAACATGCCTGTAGTAAAAGGTAGGTATGCGTCCTCATCCACACTATTCCACTCAGGTTTTTGCACTAATCTCATTAAGTTTCCAAGCATAACCCAACAGTACTCTAAAGAGCAAAACCAGCATCTGCCACAAGACATTCTCCCTCTTTCTTCATCCATGGGAAAACAGATGGAGGTAGTCTTCTTTCACTCTGTGCCTAGCTTGCTACTGGAGTCAGATCAAAAAAGCACACCTTGCATTTGAATGGAATGCAAAGAGATCTGAGCTGGTTCACAGATCCTGTGTGGGCTTGTCCAACAGCCTTCAGCCACATATTAGCAAAGCTTTATCCTCTGCACACAGTTCTTCCTTGCTACAAGAAACATCACACATGCATGTCAGACTGTCAAATAATGTGTCCTACCTCAAGCAACTGCAAACAGGAAAAACTCCCCCTGTGACTTGATATTCATGAGGAAACATGTACAGAAATCCAAAAGTGATTGGTCAGCAATACAACTTTTTTTTTTTTAAAAGAATCTTTTCCCAGCTTCAAATTATTTAAATTAATAACAGCAAGATGGCAGCCAACTAACTAAATGCAGCCAGCCAAGACAATTCATCTGGCTCCCATTATGGTTCTTGCACCCCCTCTGATCCAAAAGCTGCATTTTCATCTATTTGTATGATGCTGGGCTTATCTGGAAGCCCACGCAGCTGGAAAGTGAAAAAATGAAGCTACAGTTTAGTTGGTTCTAAGTTCCTTTCCCTAATAAGAGCATCCTTTAGTCAACTGAACTAAGTTGGTAACAAGTTTAGTCAACTGAACTAAGTTGGTAACAAGTTTTGGGGTCTACTGGCAAGCCTGTACTACCTTTCTAGTCTTCCGGTTTTATACTTTATAGAAAGGCTGTCAAGTGCTGTTTGTTCCATTTCCACAAAAGCAATCTTTTTAGGGCATCACACTATACTTGGGGAGAAGACAGAACTGGAGCAAGAGCAATACGGTGGGAGCAGACTCCAAAGAGCAGCTCAACTCTTTGGACATTAGCTCTATTTGAGACTAGATTTTCTTTTAAACTTGCCAAATATCCCACATTTCCATGGTTGATCCATGTACAAAGACAAAACACTACTGCAGTCAAGCAGCAATCTTTAGATCATTTCCTCCTAATTGCTTACATTACCCATAAGCAAAATTTACACCTGGAAATTTACACCTACTTACTCTCCCTCAGGAGGCTGTTGGGGAGAATCACTAATCGTTCTACCAATCCAGTATCAATAAATCTTAGCAATTCCCATGTACAATTCTGTCCACTGCGGCTCCTGAGTAAGCATCCTACTATTCTGACCTATACCTATTCTGAAATAAACAGCTCAAGTGCCCTCTAGTGTGGTTTCAGAATATCTAGTCCATGTTTTTCCCACTTTTGTGGGACTAAATGAGAGGGTTTGTATTTGGTTTGAAACATTTTTATAGAAACGTCCATAGAATTGTATGACATAAGCCACTGTGAAAAATACTTTGACTGAAAAATTGATGGTGATTGTGATTTTTTTGTAAAATTGCTGAGTAATAGTCATGCCTAGTTTCACGGGCATATTACCTGTTTTATCACCAAAATGCAAAATAGCAAAATTTACTAAACATGTCTGAATTTTTCATGACCATTATATCTGCTTATGAAGTGATGCTACAGTTGGGTTCTTTTCTTGATACTGATGGGTTTAGAGCATCACCATTCTAGAAAACAAAAACAAAAACAAAAACAATCCTTCTACTTACTTTTTCAGTTTCCTGTATTGCCAAACTTTTAATATATATTCAGCAAAGTAATTTTTTTTTCTTTCTACTACATTTTTAGTAGCTTTTTGGCCACAATAAACATTTTCTGAAACACTCAAGTGATTCTTATTTTTCTATTTTAATTATTTCCTAGCCCTAAGTTTTTGACCCTAAGAAATTTGACCCTTTTAAGGGTATTCACAGGCTGAATAATGAACATGCTTAGATCATCTCAGAGCATATGTTTCTGGAAGCTTTCCTGGCTGCGGTGCGTGGTCTTTCAAATAAGCTTCCTGTTTGAGCTAATACACTTATTTATCTTCAGTAGTGTGCACACTGTGAAAGCTAATAGAGTCAAGCACCAAATGGGTTTGTTTTTTCCAAACTGAAGGTAGAAATGGGAACAGTACAGGCTGTGGACTAATATAATTGTTTCAGACATTTTACAGAGTAGTGAAATTCTCAGAACTGACTTGAAAGAAATTCCAGATACACAAATATATGTTATGGTCATACCAAAGGTCCATCTACTTTTATCAGTAGCCGCAGTAAATTCTTAAGGAAACAGCTTGAGAATGTAAGTGTAAGAACAGGGGGAGTACTTTCCCAGTATTAGCCTTCTGGAATTCAGTAATGTTTGTTTTAAGAACAGGAAAAGAAAATTTAGAGTGACAATAATGGAAATAAAGGACAGCCCAAACTATCCAGTAGATGAATGATTTCAAAGAAAGAGTCCCGTCATTTGGCTCATCTTTACACAAACAAATTTAAACACCAGAACTAGATCTCCCAAACTGTCCTCTACGGTTCACAGAAGGTAATGAAAAAACAATACCTTTTTACCCATTTTTCCTAAAAACTTCAGCCTATTCCATTCTTAATGGCCTTTTCTATTACTTCTAAGACCTGGGAAAATGTAGAAGTCTATTTAAAACACTGGCAACTTTCCAGTCAGAAGTCGCAGCTGTGGCTAGGATCAGCAGCTCTTCCTGAAATTTTCTCTTGTTCTACACATACAGTACCACAGTGTAATTGCATCAGTATATTTCCTTCAAACTCTCCATTTCACGTCTTTTTATCCTTAGCCTTATATATCTTCTTTCCCCTGAACTCCTGCATATGTTCCATTTTCATGTTGTATATGTGTCTGTGTGCCAGTATGGCCTTGGCAGTAATATTTTCCCTTCGCATCATTGTGTATCCCTTTACGCCCACATTTTTGCCCACCTTGTAGTCTCTGAGTTCAGAAATAAGTGAATCCCCACATCATGGGAATTTTAACCATCTTTCAAAGTCAGCTAGTAACTAATTCTGAAGAAAACAATGTAGACATGAATCGTCTTCGTAAAATGTGTGTTCTGATAACTGGGGGTCTTTTGAGGAACAACCCGGCTATCCCACAGCTGTTGGTGGGATACCAACATTACTGCTGAATAATTTTAAAACTTTCATTAAAACAGACTGGATTTTTTTCCCTTGCCTTTTTGGGTCTTCTTAAAACATTTGCTTCGTCAAAATTCCCTTTTTTTAAAATTCTGAGCAAGTCAGGTGCAACACTACAATTCACCTTCTGTTTTCTGTCTTCGTGCCTGTGATAGGAAATCCCACAACATGCCTCATTTTTGTCATTTGTGTGAATGTTCAACTTTTTTTTCTTCTTGTCTGCAGTGGTAAGTCTTTGCAGCAATTTGTTTATATGACTGTTATGCATAATGGCTTTCTCTTAGTTCTTCTGACGTGTGAAATTGGTGTAAATTCTGAAATTTTCAAGCCAGAAGCAGAAAAGCACTGCTCAGGAAGACATGGGAATGGAAGAGCAAATTAAATTCTATCATGACTGGAATAAGGAACCATATGAAATAGAACCATCCTAGTAAAGTATGTCCTAATGCTGGCATGATTTTCCTCTTCCACGCTGCAAATATTTTAACTTAACAGTCTCCAATGAATGCTTCTTACAGGAGTTAGTAGGAGTTGGGGAGGAGGGCTATAAAACTCAACAAAGTTTTGTATACTTAAGCATACAATAAATAGTGATTACAGACATGGGCAAATTTTACTTAGCATGAAAAAGGAAATTGTACGAGTACCTTTGCCCCGGAAGGACATCTTGTACATCTCTAAAATGCTAGTAGTTGTTACGGATGCAACAACTTTGTATAAATAGGACAAGAATAGCTTTGGATACACCATTTTTAAGAGTTCTTCCTCTTCTCAGTTCATCTGCTTCCTAGCAAATTTCCGTGGAAGATGCATGCAAAAGTCAGCACCATTTCATTTTATTTGAGAAACAAGCATTTGCGTGACAGAATGAAGCTATATTGGACCCTTCCTTTCTATTTTGTCCTTGCGAAGGAGTGATTCAGGGTAAAATTCAGAAAACCTATTTAGACTCCTCAGTCAGTGCCTGAGATTCTGCTCCTCAGCAACAGCTCATCCTGCAGGGTTAAGGCAGGATATAAATGATTACATTTAATTGGTGCTTAGACTGGACCACAAAGTTCCCACAACATTCATAGAGCATGTAAAGAAGCTGCCCAGTCAGAGGAGTGGCATCTTATCTCTGCCTATATCCCCAGAAGACCTACCAAGTAGGCATGCTCTGAAGATGCCTTATACATATGTAAAAATCACTGAAGTTAACATGCAGCCCAGCAGAGAAATTTACTGGGTGAGTGGGGAGGAGAAAGGCACTCCTGTTGCCAGTCCACATGGCTAACTTGAGTCATGCTATTGTATGTGGAACCATTACCATTATGTAGCCTGTAGAATAGGTTAAATAGCAGAGAAATCTTCCCCAAAATTAATGAAATTATTTACCATAAACTTGTTGGATTTAAGATTCCTCACAACAGAAACCAAAACTTCTCTTAATTGAACTCTGTGTCCAAATATTCTTCTGATACAACACTGGCAGAGTTTTTCTGTGTCAAGAGAAAAATCGCATTTTGTAGTAAGGGTATAGAAGGCAGCTTGGTGGTCCCCCAGATATAACACTGACCAAATGCTACTAATGATGTAGCTTTTTAATTCCAAAATGTTGTTTGTCTGGTTGTTTTAAAAGCCATCTTTCTTGATTGAAAGCCATCAAGCACGCAGTGAAATAGGAAAAGAAAAAAAGGGCTTACTAGACTTTTTCAGCTCCCTGGTTTTCTTCTACTTAACCAGCAAAAAGAACAGATTTACATTCTTTAAGATAATAAACAATACACGTTCAGATATCCAACTGTCTTGGGTTCTAGTGAGCATTTCTCTGTGATTCTGAGCACCTGCTACAGTTCACACATTATCTTCTGCTGTTGTCATTATATAGTGAACTCAACAAAATGTCTAAACTTCCATCAATTCCTAGGCTAAAGTAGTTCTGTGGAAGCAGATACTTCTCTTTAAGGACTTCTGATGTCTGCTGGGCTAACTTCTCCACCATCATCATGAGATGCAAGCCCTGAAATTTCGTGCTACTCATTCCCTGCTGCTTATGGTCTTCACCTTCCATTGCTGGAATGATTATGCCAGCTAGAAGTAGATATGAACTGAAACCAGAATCTGTTGCTGGGAGCATGCCTGGCAATACATCGCTCATTCATTCCCTAGCAGCTGACCCAACTTACAGAACTCAGCAGTGGAACTGTTATTTCTCATCATGTTACAAATCACCACTGTCCTTTATGTCAGTAAAGTGAAATGCGGAAAGTATGTGGCACGTTTCACCACTCAGTTCTCTTATTTCACGTTCCAGTCTTGATGCATTTTTGCAGGACCACAGAAATGTGTAGTTTAAAACCTGTCTAGTAAACTTCCTTGATCCTAAGGCATACGCTTTGAATTTAAGTAATTTTCTTTTTTCTGTTGCCCTTTGGAACAGTTTCCTTGTCCTACTTGTCTCAAACAATTTTCAAATCAAGACAGCAGCAACAGCACATTCCATCCTGTAATGCAGATTGTGAGTCAGGGCCTTTGGGACCTCTGTGCTGATGGGATGAAATTACATGTGCCCTCAAGCAATAGCCCCAGAGGTATTCCTGGAATGGCTGGCAATGCTTGCAATACTGTACAGTACCCTGAATTTCTGCTGTCGAGACACAGTACAGGAACCCTGTTACTTTCCAGGTGAAAAGCAGAACTGCACACCTTCCCCTAGATCACAGCATAAAGCACAGAGATTAGCAGCACTTTTTATTTCTCTAATAAACAGTCCCAAACCACTATGAAATAAGTCACTCTTAGGCCCTTTTTTATGTATTAGATTTTAATTCCCTAAAGAGAAGAACAGATTTACATGGGAGTAAACCACAAGGCTGAGCTAGGACAAGTACTCAAGACCTTACAGTTTTGTGATCACTCCAGTAGCCTAGTCTGTGCAGAAAATCTCCACTTTTATTCACGCTGGGCCTCATGTTGGTTGTGATATGTGCCTCATAGACCTGTGATAGCATCCCGAGCCCAAAATAAATCAACATACAAATGCCAGAAGCTCTGGGAAAACAGCCTTTTCATGTGTCACTGTGCATTAAGATCAGGGAGCACTGGCAGTACCTCAAGGCATTCAGTCTGTAAGAATGAGGATTATAATGTCAGTCCTTCACACTGAGAAGTCTGTAAATATAGGAGAAAAGTACACATGCAAGTATGCATCCGCTTCTTGGTATATGCAGTCCAAGAAGAATTTGCAGAGTCAGTAAAACAGTGTTGAATCCCATGCTATCCTTCCCTACTATACTCTTTCATTTTTACTCATGTCACATTCTCCACCATGACCAGTATAGCATATTTGAAAAATAAAATTAATTTTTAAGTCTTGATGCTTGGACCATGTTCTTTGCATTGCCTGAATAGTACATGGCCTTGATAGTATGAGAATGCATTTTAGGATATTATAGTTTTGAAGTATTAAGATATTAATTTATAATTAGGTATACAGGTAATTATCTATCTTTATGCTTTTTGCAGCAGTGCATACAGCAAGGTTACTAGTTTCGACCCTGTGGTTTTTTAGTTTCAAAGTGAAAAGCAGCATACTGTTTGATTTTGGAGGGACAGGGTTCAGGTTGAACAGGGCATTCTTATTAGTGGTGGAAGGAATGCTAAGGCACGATTATTTCTTATCATGCCATGTATAAGTGAACGTACCACAGAATGAAACAAAGCATGCATTTGGATCTTCTCCTTTTAGGTCAAGGTAAAGTGTTTACTACTTCAGACAAGCATGTTCTCCATTGCAAAGCAGCATGGTGAAAATGAATATGGCTCCCCTTAGAATAATTATCATGAAGAAGTCTGCCTCGGCTCCAGAACAGTTTCAGTTATGATACAGAAGAGCACACAGTAAGTCTCAAAAGACAACACGGAGAGCGAGTCTAAGAATCACATACAAAAGAGGGAGTAAATAGAGCAGGTAGACAGTGCCAGAATATGTTGTACTTCAGGGAGAGCATCTCACCTCTTTAAATCAAGGTCCATTAAAGAGTCATTCTACAGATACCCTCTTCAAAACATTTTTTTACTCTGTGCTTAAAGCTTGCACTGTAATATGACATACGTTCTGGAAATTGTCCATTTATAAGGACAGAAAGGCCATGTTGTCCCGGGTTGAGTGAGTGGTAGAGTTTTTCGGTGGCAGGGGAGGGGGCTATAGGGGCTATAGTATCTCACACTATTATTGCTGGCACGTTTTTAAAGCTCTATAAGGGCTTTGCGTTTTAAAGCATGGTAGAAAAGAAAATAAATGTATATTCAATAACATGAAATCAGGCTGCGCACAGGCAAATGCCATTCATTTCTGTGACCTAACTACTCACATTCAGTAGTTAGTCACACTGTAATCCACAGCGGAGACTCGGGCCTAGGCCAAATAAATTGATCCCTGTAAAGCTGTTCCAGACCCCCTGTGACTCTCATCATAGAACTAGTTCCATACTTCATTTTCCATGCTGACCCAACCAGCTAGATTAGCTCAAAACGACATTAGCCATCATACATAGCAGAAGAATTCCTTCTCATTAAAGCCTGAGCAACAGTTTTGATAACCTGATTTTCCTTAGTATTTTTCACAGTTTGACAGATCATGTTATTACCCTCTAACCCAGGTTTCCTGGGAAACAAAGCATCTCCTTACTCTTCTAATCCTTCCATGGAAACAAAGCCGAAATAAAACACTTCATGGGCATTCATTACATTTTATCATACATAGTTCATGGACCTATCCACGTCAACTACCCAAAACGTGCTACTGCTTAATGGGTAGCAGAAACAACTAAACTTGCTTTTTGTAACAGTCACTTCTTGTCCAATGGCAACATTAACCAGGGACAAAGCTTCCTTTCTGGACAATGCTTTGTTTCATCCCAAATCAAGGAAACACTCCACTTCTGAGAACTGGATTTTGCTAGGGCAAAAATGTGTGAAAGGGACCCTTCACAAACATGCAAGCCGCTTCCAGCTTCTAGTATATGTGTTTGTCTTCTTTGATTTTTCTGGAGGGGAGCACATTCTTTTAAGTTAAAGATGACATTAGATAGTTCAGCTATGATACGGAACCTTATTTCTGTTCTTCCTTTGCTAGGGAAAATTTAGTGGAAATGTTCCTTTGGAACACATGCAGTCATGCCTAAGAGGCTGTGCATGCTGTGACTGTTTACATGAGCCTGCACACTATGCCATCATCAGTCGTTCTGCAGACATGCCCTGTACACTGAACTCACACACAGTATGGCTGTTCGTCTAAATATTCAGGACCACTCACCTGCACCTTGCAGAGGAATTTGCCTTAGTAGGTAGAGTTGCTGCAAAGTGGAAGTATGCAACTCACATAACTGGAAATCTACCTGAGTAGAGAAAAGTCAGGCCCAAAGAGCAGAAGGAATCTGCAAAGAGAGAATATTAGTTGGTAATTGGATGAGTACCTCTCGTGCTTAGCAAATAACTGGGAGGGGACTCAAAAAGCCAAACTGGGACCAAGAGCTGCTTACTCGGAGAGAACAGACAAGAAAACAGAGTATTCTTCTATCCTAATTTCCATTTTTCCCTAAGGGGAGATGGTAGAAATAATACCTGGATCATGCTTGCTGTAGCAATTAAGTAGTTTACAGGATTTTGTGCTTTTGCAGACTTGCAATGCTTTTTCTGAAAAGCAGCTTTCAGAGATAGGCCAGGATTTGAAGCACAGCAAATTCTGGACACTCCTAAAAAGAGAAAACCAGGCCAGTGCAGTTGTCAGGAGATCCAACCATAGTTGTCAACAGCCTCATATAAGCTTTGCAGACTGATCTGTCATGCAAGTTCCTGATGCAAAGCAAGTAAACATATTTAAAAAAAAATCAAAAAGTGTGGAAGAAACAAAGGATCAGACTATTTGCTCAGACAGTTGGAGAAGCACAGTCCCTTCTGACCTCCTTTGTAGTCCAGCAAGCAATTCCTGAGCTACATTCTGAGACAGAGGCAGAGTTGCCAGGCCTAGCATTCCGGCAATTACTCAGTGGAAATGGAAACAGCAATACACATGCCAATGGTATGATGCAAGTTTCATTGTCCCTCTCGGAATGAGAGTCCATTAGGGTTTCTGAGCTGTTTTCTTGGAATTTAAAGTCAATTGTAGTTCCATGTAAATTACACATTTAAGCCAGGAAATAAAATATCTTTTTTTTCAAGGGAGGTCCTCCTCATTCCCTGGCCTACGCTTCTCTGAAGAGCTATTTTGGACCTTGAACAGGGAATGTGAGCTTAACATGCGCAGAAAGAGCTGAGAAACAGGGAACAGATAGGACATGGGGTAATGACTTTAAACTGAGAGAGTAGATTTACATTAGATATAAGGCAGAAATTATTTACTGTGAGGGTGGTAAGGCACTGGAACAAGTTGCCCAGAGAAGTTGTGGATGCTCCATCCCTAGTACTGTTCAAGGCCAGGTTGGACGGGGCTTTGAGCAACCTGGTCTAGTGGAAAGTGTCCCTGCCCGTGACAGGGGGCGTGGAACTAGATGATCTTTAAGGTCCCTTCCAACCCAAACCATTCAACGATTCTGTGAAACCCAAACAATCCTCTGTATAGCTAAGAAGCATGAATATGAAAGTTTTGTTGTTCATAAAGCATAAATGTGGAATAATCGTAGGTGCATGCTTGTAAAACACTTAGCAAACAGCTGAACACTAGAAAGAAATAACAATATTGCGCCCTCCTAATTTCTTAAAGGACAGTGGGTTAGCAGAGAGCAATTTGGAAGACAATGAAAAACAGAGGAAGAGTTGGTCAGACCTGGAAGAAGAATAGTAAAATTCAGGCCTGTCGGGATACATTTTAAATGTTTTAATTCTTTAGTCAGTTTAGGGATGATCTTTATGGGATTAAAAACTCAGGCTTTCTTCTAGAAATTTAAATTAAACAGCATTTGCTCCAGCAAGGATAGTTTCTTATCTATCTGTCATTGCAAGTAAAATTAAAAGTAACATCATATATCTTTCAGTATCTAAATATCTAATGCTACAGTTGGATAATACTTCTTCCAAAAGTTTCCCAGTATGCTCTGCAATAAGAAAATAAGCAAAACCAAATGGTCCTTTCCCCAGAATTTGCATAACTGTAAATCTAACTGCAAAGAAATTTCCAGGTTAGAAAGCTATTGCAAATATCCGTATGATTGTTTCATCCAAGATATACTATGTAAGAATCTATGGGGGAAAGGATACTTTGCTAATAGAAGCCTCTTTAATGTAGAAAGCAATACAGTCAATGGGTTTTGAAGCTGGACACATTCAAGATGTAAGTAAAATGTCAGTTTTCATAGCAAATACGACTAACTACCACAGCTCATGAAATAATGTTATGAACTGTCTACTAACTTAATGTGTACTTCACAATTTCATAACCCTATTGACAAAAATGAGTGTCTTCTTTCCTTAAATATATTGATTGCTCTATAATAGCCTAAGAAATGAAAATATTAATCACCTTTTTCATTTTCATCAGAAATCTCTTAATGTATAGAAAACCTGGAAAGCACAAACATTATTATAATAAATGTCAGGGCTTACTAGAAAAAAGCAGAGAACTTGAAGTGGAATAGGAGAGGTTTCTACTTTTAGAGCAATAAATACATTAGAGGTAGAAATCCGTGTATCTGGAGGGAGGCAGCTGCCCAGTCCAGTTGCAGCAATTAGCACTTTCCCCGGGCCCTCTGCCCCTCCCGCCCCGCTCCCGCGTGGCAGCACGGAGGGCGCCAGCAGGGGGCGCTGCCGCACGCGGAATGCCCGCAGCTCGGCGCGAGCCCGGCCCGGCCCCGCAGCCGGGGGGGCGGCGGCGGGTGCAGCAGCGGGGCAGGGTCCGACGGGGCCGGGCCCCGCCCCGGGAGGGGTTTCTGCTGTGGTGTTGGCATCAGCTCTGAAGAGAAGGCTGCAGAGAGGCTGCTGGTTCCCGTCCTACATTTTGTCCTGGCCACCGAGCGACTGGGGACCAGCCAACGGTGCCGCAGCCGAGGCTCAGATCCGGGGAGGGTTGAGGCATCTGAGACTGAGCTGGCAGCAACGCAGGGAGCAGAGGAGATCTAGTCCTGTAAGCTAGACTTCCACAGTTCTCTCACAGATCTTTTGAGGTCCTGTAACATCGCTGGCTGTCAGCACACCAGGTTACTTGACCTCACCATGCATGACCATTCATGGGGGGACTGCAGGAGGAAGTGCTTCCTAGAGAAGCTAAGAACTATACGGTGAAAAGTGGTATGGTGGCGGAATTCAGGTGGATACTGACCTTGTACCCAGTTGACAGGGCCAGAAGGCTGGGGCAAAAGGGCAAGGTACAGACCCCACACCCTCCCTGCCACTAACTCACTGAATGATTTGTCTCCTCTCCATCTGTACTTCTGTAGAGTGTGCAATCACTTGATTAAGTCAGCTCTCCAGCCTCAATTGGTTTTCTGTGGTGATTAAGGTAGCACCCATTGAATGTAGTCAGGAAACAGCTCTCCCATCTAAAGTAAAGGGGTCCTGTCCCTGCAGCTCCTCCCTATATATTCACTCTAAATCTTCCTTGGCTATCCAGAACCTGTTTTACTATCATCACCTCACAATGAGCTCCAGTTAAAAAAAAAAAAAAAAAAAAAAAAAAAAAGTATTTTTCTGAAGGAACACAATCCTTGTTAGCTTTTCCAAAATAAAGGCATCAGGAATAACCACAATCTTCCTCCTCTTGGCTGCATGCACATACAGTAATGATCCCTGTCATGGAAGAGCACATACAATGAGTAGATGAGACAAACCAGGGCTCACAAGTTAAGTCAGCTGCCCTGGATAGTTGAGGGAGATACATGGCAGAGCTCCGGATAGATAGTGTGACCCTTCCACAACCCCGTTCACTGTCCACCCTGTAAAGCTGTGCATACCGATTTAGGCAGAGATGCCTTCTGCCTTCCACTGTTGCTTACTCATCTGTCTCCTAGATTAAAAGGTTTTATCAACAGCTAAATTAAAACCCAAATGTAAATTTAATTTGTTGCCCTTAGAACCTGGATTGCAATTTGCAATGACAGAAATTCGCAAATAGTGTTTATTCAAATCCAGATTTTTATTTTTAAATTGAAAATGAAAAGGGGGGAGTTTTTTTCATGGCTTCCTGTTTTTGAAAACTGCCTGTAACTCCTAGAAACAGGCTTTGCTAGATCCAGATATTGAGGAGTCTAAAAATCCTGCCCAGAGTGCTATGAGAAATTGTGGAGCTCTAAAGGACAGTTTCTGAAAGATGATCTTTTGATCTGCTTTGAGGAAGAAGAGTCATTCTGTGCTACCAAACCTCTACAATAACTTGGGCTTAAGAGGCTTAGTGAGGGGAATAGGGCCAAGACTGAAGTTCACAGGCTAACATTTTGTGCAATGGACTGTTTGCTGGCCCCCCTTGCTATAGCCCTGGGAACACATTTTAGAGGAAGAACAGTGCATAAGCAGCTAAATCACCACTTCTGAAATGCTTTTAAGAAAAGATAATCACAAAAAGATTGAATCAAGGCCACATCGAGTGATCTCACACTTCCTGACTACAGTTAAAAGAGTTGGACGACGAGAGAATATGCTTTTGTCACCATGAATTACTTTCTTCCGGAAGCAATGGGATATTAACATAAATGTATCTGCAACAACAGATGACCAGAAAAGCCCAGCCACATAGATTAGAATATCAAACTGATGTCACTATTCACGACACCAGTTGAAACTGCTAGCTGTAAAGAGCAAAACCTTCCTGATATATTTAGCATCAGTTCAATTGGATTTCTTTCACTGCAAGAATTACGTAGCAAGGAGACCTACTTACGAAGGCTGAATGCTCCATTCATAAACTTTTAGAGAAAATCAGCATAAAAATTACTAGAGAAGCTTGATAAAAGACTTTTTCAAAAACTGTCTATTTTGCCATCAGAAGCCAATGCAAAATTGCTCCCTCTTTTAGATTTATTGCTTCAAAGGTATCAGAGGATCATGAAGCCCCTTCCTACTGTTTGATACATCTCATTGTCATTAAGGTATTTTGTCTATTCAAATGGATTCATGTTTTTGTTATTTTAGAAGGAATACGCAGCACCTGGTAGGTCAATACCACGATGAGCATCACTCAAGAAAAAAAAGGCAACTGCAGGATTTTGCTGTGTCATAAGGTAGGCTGAATGTTTCTTTTTAAAAAAAATAATAAAGTATATTTCATTGCAAGTGGAACAAGAGATTCTTAATAAAACTCTGCCATTGCAATTCAAATAAACTATTTGGGATGATTTTCCCCAAATACTGCCAGACTTTAAAGCAGCTGAAAATAAACAGCAAAATGAGTGAAAGTATTATTAGAGGAGTGTAGTTGCAGTTGAAATAAAAAGACTCAATAATTTTTTCTTATGCCTTTTTGCATGGTTTCCATACACACCTTGGGAAACACCAATTCTAGACATGAAAACAATATGGACAGGTAAAACTACATGGTTACTTTACTAGAGCAGAAAACAGGAAATAACTGCTTTATTCATTAAACACTGAGATAAAACACTTAACATAGAAAACCCACTTCTCAAGAGACTCTACCTTACCTTGTACTTTCTTGTCAAGGCCCCTCAGGCAGCTTCAGACTCAAGACTTTCTGAAGACCATGAAAGAAAACAGCAGCTGAAAAAAAAAAATTGTAAGAGGAGAAAGATTAAGATCTTTACAACAGAGTCAGCGTTTTTGGTCAAGCCTTGAAAACAGGATTGGAAGTATTAGTGCTTGGAAAATGAATTTTAGGGGCCCTTGGTTTATGAGAGTGAAAACAATTTTAAGGAGAACGACCCTCTTCCTGCTATCCTCATACTTCACACGTCAAATTCTCGATCTTGCTTGTGGGCTTGCATTCTAGTACCGCCAAATGTAAGTGTCTAATTTAAAGTCTTAGCCTGAGACACGTGCCACAGCCAGAAGCCCGAGAGAGAGGGATTTTATTGAGCGCACGCGGAAAAAGCGGCGACAGGGTCTGCTGCGTGCCCCCGACAGCCGCTGCCGCGGGCGGGCGGGCGAGCAGAGCCGCCGCTGCCGTCCCCACGGCTGAGCCCGGGTTGGGCGGCCAGACCCCGCGGCCGGCCGGGCTGCCGAGGGCCGGGCTGCCGAGGGCCGGGCTGCCGAGGGCCGCGCTGCCGAGGGCCGGGCTGCCGAGGGCCGGGCTGCCGAGGGCCGCGCTGCCGAGGGCCGCGCTGCCGAGGGCCGGGCTGCCGAGCGCCGCGCTGCCGCCGGGAAGCAGCGCCGTGCGGGCAGCGGGCCCGTGCCCTCAGGGCAGGGCCGCGGAGGGCGGCCCTCCCGGCCCCGGCCAGCGCTCTAGGCACGAAGCCCGGCCCGGCCCCGCCGCCTCCCGGGGCGGGCCCGGGGCGGTCCGGGCAGCGCCGGCCCCGGCCCCGGCCCCGGCCCGCCCCTCGCCGCGCCCAGCCCTGCACCTGCCTCCCGGCACCGCCCCGCGCGGAGCCGCCGGCGAGTCGGGCCCAGCCGCCTCGGAAGGTGCTGCCGGAGCCAGCGCCCGCCATGGGCACGGCGCGCGAGGGGATGCGCTGCATCAAGATCTTGCTGTTCATCTTCAACTTGACCTTCTGGGTGAGCTCCCGGGCGGAGCGGAGCGGGGCCGGGCGGAGGGGGGCCGGGCGAAGCCGTGCCGCCTGCGGCACCTGCCGCGGGCGCTCCCGGGCCCCGGCGGCCGGCCAGGCCCGACCCCCGCGGCGGCGCTGGGCCCCGGCGCGCGCGGCCGGCGGCCCCGGGGGAGAGCGCGGGCGGCGGGGTGCCGGGCCGCCGCGGTGCCGGGCCGCCGCCGGGACCGAGCATCGGTGGCCCCGGGGGCGGCCCCGGGGGCGGCCCCGCGCCGAGGCGAGCTCTGAGGAGGAGTGCTGCAGGACGGGCTCAGAGTTTACCTTACAAGAGTGCCCTACCAATGCTCTCGGCGTTTACTCGCTCCTATTACGATACGGCTCTTCCTGGGAAAGTACACACTTGATATGACATCGCTGAGAAAAGACGACATCTTTCTTAACTGATAATTTAAAGTAGTGACCATTTCCCCAACAAACATAAAATTTCAAACAGGAGGCTGTGGGAGGTTCTCCCAGCATCCCATGCAGTGCACTGCAGCAGAACACTTCTTCATAGCATCACAATGCTTTGTAATAATGTAATTCCAAATAGTAAACCAACAGCTGCTACTTTTACAAGTTCATCCTAAGAGAAAGTCCTTGCATCATATTGCAGTTACTTTGCTGAAAGATACCCTAATGTGGCAATGAATAGTGTCTACTCCAAAGCCCTCAAGAGATTTAGAGAATACTATGCCCGTTCTCCCCTCATTGCACCTTTTTAATAGTCTCACATTTCCATAGCACAACTGAATTCAAGCTTTCTTTTTTCTTTCACTTTCCCTCAGGCTGTGTTCTCCCTCCCAGTAGCTTTCCCAGTTTTCACACTGGAAAACAATTAGCAATGTTATCTTATTAAATGACTTTTTCTTTTTTTTTTTTTTTTTTCTGATGCACTGTTTTTTAAAAAGAAGTCACAAAACAATCCTGTCCAGCATCTCTGGAGCAAGGAGTTTGGGGCTTTCGTCTCTTTCGTGCTTGAAACACAGTTAAACCAAATGCTTTTCCTTCTTGGTGACAGCACTGCAAGTTCCGGGTACACAGTGCTGCTGTGCTCAAGCTGTAGGAGCAGAGTGATGTTGCCCAGCTGCAGCTGCAAGTCAGTAGAAGGACAAAGCTTTGTGTTATGTTGTTACTTGTCAAAAAGTGACAAGTACTGTGTTTTGTTATCTGTCTTTCACTATGATGGAATAAACCATCTCCTCAGCTGGACTGGGGGCATTCATTTCAAACACATCCAAACTACCAGAGGCACCTAGAAGGCTGGACTGACAGGAGGGGACTTGTGGTGTGCTCTAGCAGTCCAAAGGCAGAGTCCGCGCCTGCAAGTGGGGAGGTTCAGATGACTGGGGTGGCAGGAGAACCTCACACTATGCTGTGATGCTTCTGTGAGGAAAGCTGTGATCCCAAGCTCTCCAGCCATATTTTTGTCTGCTTTCTTTGCTTGCTATAGCTATGCCAGATGAATCAAGTGCCAGGCAATGCAGGACAGATGAAAAAAGCACCATGCCAGGCTACCAGGGATCTAGTAAGCAGCAGGTGTTTTGTGAACCTCATTCAGGTTGCACAGTTGCTACAGATGTAGGCTCAGGGCCTCCATCGGAACAGTAGCAGAGCACTGTGCCTGGTCCTGCAGGATGCTGAAGCTGTTTGCCAGGACACACACCATTGCCTGGTAGGCTTATAAGTATGTCTGGCATGCAGTGCATCTGAGACCGTCTGTAGATCTTTCCCCTCAAACAGCATGCCTTGACACTCCCTTTTGATCTAGCCTTGTTCACATTACAGGGAATTTTTCATTGCATCTGACAGCATCCATCACTTGTTTGTTAGTCATTTCTGTGATCCAAGATATTGTACACTGTAATAATCCTTTTACCTCCCATGGTGATTTACAGAAAAATGCCCTATCATTATTGGTCTGAACACACTTAACTTCAGCACATCCCTAAGAACAATGCAAGCCTGCCTCTCTGGTAAGCCTCTAAACAGAACCCATCTTAAACTAAGCAGCAGTTCTGGAATGGCAGATGGTCTCCTGTAGCTCGGTATGATGATTTAGAGGTCCAGCTAGTCTTTCTACAGCTGTTACCCTGGAGCTGGACCTGTGATACATAGAGGGGAAGGGGACACCTCTCAGCCCTAAAGGCTGTTATTTAGCCCTAAACCAGCTAGGAGGGTTGAAAAAAAAAACTTTGGTGTGTGTCAAGTCAGCAGGGCTTAACTCCTGGTCATGCAGCACTTCACCGTGAGGTGCTTTACCTACAGTAACAGCATCTTGACTCCAGACCCATGCCCTGAGCAGCTTCCTGCATACTGCCTGACTACAGTGCAGTTCTGAGGGTTAGGAAGGAAGGCAGTGTTCCACATGAGTTTTGCATCCCGTCCGTTCTTCTCATGGGCACTCACTTCCCCTCCATGCACCCCCTCGCCCCACTCCACTACCCATTGCGATTCAGGCAAAGTTTTGATGACTAAATGAGCTTACTTACAAGGTTTGAAAGTCACTAGTAGGTTCAGAAGCACCACTACACTGAAGAACTGAAAGAAATACATTGCACTGTAATATTAATTCACTGTTACAAAACACAGGCAAGGGCTTCCTGATTTTTCTGACAGTACAATCCTGAGCTGTGGGATTTCAAGAAAGTGTAAGGTGCCAATGACACCTCTTTGATGCTCTCCAGGCAGTTGTTACTAAAGTATTTACGGGTCTGTTTATCTTCCAGCTGGCAGGATTGGCTGTCATTGCCTTTGGTCTATGGCTGCGGTTTGGTGGGGCTATGGCAGACTTTGCTTCAGACAAAAAGTCTCCAGAGTACTTCTTCATGGGTAAGTTGAAGTTCCTGTGATGACAGTAGCCTTTAGCCTTGGTTTCATCCTGAGACATGTGACACACCTTATGCATTGAATTACATGAAGGCCAACAATTCCTGAGCTGAACTATACAAAACTGGACATTCTGGTGCTGTGTGTCATGTGCATTGATGGCTTTCATCCTTTCTCAGCTTGGCATCAACTTCCTTAGGTGTAACTGAATTCTCAAACTTAGATTTGATCCAATCCTCACATATCCTAAGTGAATTGTGCCAATTCTGTCGGAATAGAAGTTGAGATGGATCAGAGACTCCTGGAACATGGGGCTCACCAATATAGCCTTCCAGAGTTTCTGTGCAGCCAACAAAACAACAGTGTCACTTCTGAATGTTTCTAATACCAGCGTAGCAGTAAAACTTCACCAGTTCTCCCTGTGTCTGCAGACAGAGGCTTTCAGTGTGACTTTAACTATGAGAGCAAATCCTTCCACACCTGAAAAGTAAAACTGCACAGTGTTCAGTCATCTCAAAAACTGTTTGTCTAACCTAGGCAGGAATCAACTAGTTCCCCAAGACCACAGAATTCCTATTGGTCATATCTAATTTTAGGCATTTAGTATAATTTTTTTTCTCTCTCGGATTTCCAGTTGAGTTTTCTGGAAATGCCACCTGAGTTACATATCTATAGACATCCTTAAATAGGAGCTGTCTAGGACTGACAGCAACTGCATTTCTCTATCCATGGGAAATTGTAATGTGCCTTTACACCAGAAGAGTCAGATTTTTTCTGTTTTAATATATCACCCCTGGACATGGACTCAATAAAATCCAATTCGTGCAGACATTTTTGGCATCTACAAATGCCAAGTTTGAATGAATACCCAGTCCTGCTTTGTCCATCAAGCCACTCTGGCTGGGTGGCCAGACATGGAAGTTGAGTCAAAATGTCCTGTAGCAGTCAGTTACCCATCACAAGAATATTGCCTGGGCTGTGCAGTTACTTTAAGTACCCTGATTCTTTTAGTGGAGACCTTGACTCTGATACACTACAGGCCTAACCCCAAGCTTCTTGAATATATGCAACCAGGCGAGAGGCACAGAGCTGACTATATAGTACTATGGGAATAGATGAATAGAATGTTATGTCCAGCAAAGCTTCTGTACAAGTTTATGAGTCTGAACAAAACCATTCAGGTGAATATTTCATTGGGACCTGAGGGTTACTGTAAAATACCCTGTAGCACCTCCACTGACACAGAGAGCCAGGAAGTGTGATTTACTTTTACATCTGAGCTGCTATGTCAGCAGCATATTAGATCATCAGCATAATTTCCAGATCCAGTTTATACCTGCTGAATTTCCTATGCTGTATCTTGGAACTCTTCCCTGCCTCATCCATTTAGGTTTGACCCAGGAGATTCAGCAAGACAGAAGGATGTTCTGGCCTTCAAATTCAAGTACTGTTGGTTTGTTAGAAGCCAGAAAGTAATTGTTCCTGTGATGTGAATAAGCACCACAGTAATTTCACAGCTTTGCAGGGCAGACTGTAACACTGTGTAAACAAGATATTCTTTGGTGCATGTGTATTTAAATCTCTAAAAGATTTAATCTGCTTCAGTTCTGAATAAGAATTACAAAAGCTGGTTAGAGCTGTTAATTTTGGGAAGTCCTGGGGACTGTTCTTGTAAAAGTTTCATCATATACTGTGACATTCAACTATTGGGCTGCCACATGTATTTATAGGGCTATATGCTGTAATATGTAACTGCTAGCAGAGGAAGTGCCAAGGAACAGGACATAAATATGTTGAGAATTCTTTTAAACTTGCACGTTTGACTGAATTCTAAAGCAAAGTTTTGGCCCTTTCTTGTAATAGGCATTATGCTCTGAATGGAGCATTCCTGTTAAAACCAAAAAATTTTCTGCTGTCCTCCCTCATTACAAATCATGTTAAATGTTGTTGTGACTTCTGAGCATCTGATGGGGCAGCCATTCAGAAGCCTGAGGCTGTTAACAATTGTGACTAAGGCAGTGGTACAAGAATGGTGGTAAGTTCAATAACAGTAGGGGTTTTTTCAGCAAAGCTGCACTTGATGGTCATGCTCAAGAGCTTTACCTCTCTATGAGGTTTCAGCTCTGAGCCCCCCTTGGCAGTTGCATATTGGGCCCTTCTCACAGAGACTAGAAATGTTGTTTATTTGGCGTTGTGTGTTTGCTCTGTAACATGCATTCTGGGTAACAGCCAGAATTTTGCATAGGAATTCTTAATATGGAACACTGTGCAGCACACAAAGAGCTGCATCGAGAGGGATGAAAGAGAAAGCAGGTCATCAGTATGACTTGGAGATATAAACACATGGCCATATATTTAAAAATTTTTTTTTTAGCTCTGTTCCACTGACCACTTTTGTGGCTGCTTTGTGATAACCCAAGCCCCTGTGATCAGATCAGCTTTGTGTCAGTGCTTGGAACAACAGCACAGCTGCACTCACAGTTTGCTTTGTAGGTTGAAGCACTGTCCAGAATCATAATCTTGTGGAAAACATCTAATTTTCTTGCTTCTAAAGAGCAGCACATTCTGCTCTTTTTGTACCTGTATTGAGCTGCCAGCTGAATCTAACCAGATTGTCTCTTGTGCCTCCTTGTGATGTTTTTTTTTCCTGGATCTGAAATATTGTTTTAGTTTAAAATAATTGATAATTATATCCTTGCATTTTCCATTAGGCGAGAATGAGTCTCCTTAAATAGCCTTGTTCTTTACCAGCAGTCCAGATGTCGTTTCTGCCCCCTTGAATAGTTCAGGCCATGTCTTGGCAACCAGGCCTGTTCATCTTTTCCATCCACTGAAATGTTTTTGTTGGTTTGAGAACAACTTACAGGCAGCACTGCTGAGGTCAAGCACATATGTGTTCTTAGTTTTCTGTTGCTTGTGGTTTTGTGTTCAGTGATCCACATTCCCCACTGCAGCTTGCAGGTTTTTAATCTACAGTATAAAAGGTTGGGACCCACACAGTCTCCATCCACTTTACCAGATGTATCTTACAATGGGGTGGCCTCCTAAAATTGGATTTTCTCTCTCTGCAGCTCCCCAGCTCTTGGAGTTCGCACTGCAGTGGCAGGCATGACAATATTTTTGTGTTCCTCCATTTCATAGTATGTTTTTTGTGCCTGTGCTTGAAGTGGTGAGGCAAAACTGTAGCTTTCCTGTTCTACTGCAGTTCAGCTCTGGAAGATTTCATATATTCCTCTCTTAGCTGTACTTGAGAGAAGAAAAAAAAAAAAAAAAAAAAATTTCAGCAAAGATGAGTAGCTTGACAGTTACCTCCTTCATCTGAGTTGTCTGTGGCACCATACTGACCAAATGGAGAAAAGATCTGTAGAATAAAGGGAATTCTCTAGGATTGCTCATCCTTCTTGAAACTCCTGTACTGAGACTCTGGCAAGATTTTTACTGGGCAGGAGTCTACAACAATCAGAAGGAAAAGAGAGATGCCTTGTGTGAACCCAAGATGTCAGCATTGCTGTCTCACAATTAATTGGTCCTTAATTAATTCTCTGTAGTAGTGCTGTTCTTAAATTTAGCAATACCTAAAGCACAGAAGTGAAGACACAGTGCCTGCTGAGTGCAAGTTGAGCATCTGAGAAGTAACAACTAACACACGGACTTTTAAAGGGTCAGTTCAAGACACCCATTCTCCCTTCTTTGCTTTTGGTAGATGAAGAGGAAAGTGTTCTGGTTCTTCAGGCAACATGGAGGACAAACTCTCTGTATCCCTAATAAATTAGGTGCAGAGGATCATATCACTGCCAGTAGCAATAAAAATGAAGTGTATGTACTCAGTAAGTCTCAGCAGGAGTGGTAACAAAAACTGATGAATGTGAATTAATCAAATCTGGATGACTCTTTCTCGTAACTGGCAGCACTTAAGCATTGCTTTTCCTGCACAGCCAGAGCTCACAAACTTTCTGCTATGTTATGTTCTCTTTGCTCCAGTTCCATGATCCAATCTGTGGTCCAAGCATCCATTGGTGCCAAACCAGTTGTGCAAAGAAGTTTCAGGGTGGCTGTGGCTTTTACTTGGGGTCTGTGAGAGCATAAGTGATCATTCTGGCTTTGAAAGGTACAGTTAGATGGCACATGCCTCAGCGTATGAAGTCATGTCTGGAGTTGAAGGATATTAGTATTTTTTCTCCATAGTAGTGGGTGCCCAGGCAAACAGGAGTTGGCCAGCAGTTAAATCCATGTGAACTGCAATTCTCTGCTCCTGTGCCTCATTTTGTTATAGTTCTATTCGTGTATTTTGGCGTCAAGCAATATAGTCCTAGTCAACAGTATTTTCTCTGCAAAATCCATAGCCTCTCAAACCCTATCAGCCTTTAAAACGAGAGCTATTGGCAAAGTAGCCTTGGTGTAGAGTTGCAGTACCACAAAAGGAGCATCAGATGGCCCTGCCATGGTTACTGGATAGGCTTTTAGTCTGTACTTAAGCAATTAACTTGTCTTCCTATCATCTTGTGTGCCGGTCTCTTGTTCTGTAGTTGAGGAAGACTGCCTTAGAAAAGGTTGCTAGTGGCCTTGAGTGGAAAACAAAAGCTGCTACACTGGAAATCTACTTAAAAAATATGACACCACCGCTACCCCCACCCCACACCCACCCAAAAAAAACAACTTTACTCAAAATGAAAGTCGTTCAAAAGTCTTCAGTCTCTGTGCTGGATCATAAAACCTAGCAGCCGTTCCTAAGAGTCAGTATCCCACCTGGCAGAGTAAAAGCACAGCCACCACAAAGCTATAATTCTAACAAGACAAACTAATTAAGCCTAATGGAATAATCTGTCCATCTACCTCAGGTTGACTGTTTTATATTTTCAATTTGCTGGATTCAGGAGGCTATTTTTTTTTTTGTTTTAATTAATCACTTAATCATGATAATGCACTGTATGGTTTTTGTCTGTTAAACTGTCCTCCTGGGTAAACCTTCTTCCCGACTCTGCTCTCTTTGTGTGTAGCTATCT